AATGCTTAAATTTTAAATTTTTTTAGGTAAAAGCCTCACCAGAAAATGTAAAAAAATTTCGAGAAAGTTTAAGTAAATTAGGAGATTTGTATGTAAATGATGCTTTCGGTACTGCACATCGTGCTCATAGTTCTATGTTGGGAGAAGGTTTTGAAAAGAGAGCAGCAGGATTTCTGTTGAAAAAAGAACTTCATTATTTTGCTAAAGCTCTAGATGAGCCTGAAAGGTGTGTTAATTTTTATGATTATCATAATACTTATAAAAATAGTATTTATTTTGTTATGTAGTAGTAGTAGTCGAATTGAATGTTTTTATAAACTTTAAAATTATTTATTTTTTTTTTTTTACAGACCTTTTCTGGCTATACTAGGAGGAGCTAAAGTTGCTGATAAAGTACCATTGATTGAAAATCTTCTTAACAAAGTTTCTGAATTAATAATCGGAGGAGGAATGGCTTACACATTTTTAAAAGTTTTAAAAAATATGAAGGTATTTTACATCGTTTTAAAAACTAATTTAGCAAAAGACACCACATCATCATTTAAAAATTTAATTAATAAAATTTTTTTTTTTTTTAAGATTGGAAATTCGTTATACGATCCCGAGGGTGCAAAAATTGTTGATAAATTAATGAAAATTGCCGAAGAAAAAGATGTTAAAATTCATCTTCCTGTCGATTTTATAACTGCCGATAAATTCGATGACACTGCTGAAGTTGGAAAAGCGAGGGTTCATGATGGTATTCCCGATGGTTGGATGGGATTGGATATTGGAGAAAAATCTAGAGAGTTATTTAAAGAGCCAATATCGAGAGCCAGAACAATTGTTTGGAACGGGTATCAATATTTTTAAATTATAATTTAAAATTTTAACTTTTTTTTTTTTTTTTACTTAAATTTATAAAAAAATTTTTTTTTTTTTGAAGGCCTGCGGGAGTTTTCGAATTTAAAAAATTTAGTCATGGGACCAAAGCGATTATGGATGCTGTTGTGGAAGCTACGTCAAATGGTGCTATTACCGTAGTAGGAGGAGGAGATACAGCAACATGTGTTGCTAAGTGGAATACAGAAGATAAAATCAGTCATATTTCTACTGGTGGAGGAGCTAGTTTAGAACTTCTTGAAGGTATACAAAAAAAAAAAAAAAAATTTTAATTACAATTTACCGATCGAATACTAAAAATTCACACTTTTTAATTACAGGAAAAACTTTACCAGGAGTCGCAGCTTTAACGGATGCTTAAATTTTTCGCGGATTATAAACTAAAAAAAATTTAGATCTGATATATTCGTATAAATATGCGTTATCGATTAAGGCTTTAAAATTTTTCTGAAGGTTTATTAATGTATAAATTAATTTTCCAAAAGAAAAAAAACCGCGCATAACCAAATTGTTTCAAGTTATTAAAGATTTGTACGAATATTATTTAGAATATAAACGTAAATTTTTATTAAAAAAAAAAAAAAGGAAATAGATTAATTTCTTTTATCCTACTTTATTTATTGTCACGTGTTAGTTATTGAAAAAATGTTTTTTTGTTTTAAATTATGGAAATTGTAAATGTAAAATAGCGTAAAGGCAAGAGAGAGTATCATTTCCGTTATATTTTGTCTAATTTAATAATAATAATAACTAAAAATTAGTATTTTTGTGAGTAACTGTAAAAGAAAACTCAAAATAATTGTTTTTCACGTTTTGTCCTTTTGTTTTTCCTCCATCCTGACTTAAATATTTAATCTTATTTATGTTTTTAATTTGTTGTTATGTTATTAATGTTATGTTATAATGTTTTAAACCGGATTTATTAAGCATTAATCAATAAAGGAAATTTTTTTTTTATTTTTAAACCGAAAAATTTTTTAAAATTATTGTTTTGCGTATTGGGGAGTAAAGTAATTTAAATTTTATTTTATTTTATTATTTTTTAGTTTTAATATTTTTTTTAATAAAACCATTAACCTGGTTGACATGTATATATACTGGAAACAGAAGCAGAAGAGAAATTTTACCACTTCTTAAAATTATTTTATAAATTTATTTATCATCCGGCATTTTTTCTACCCTTTCGCGTAGATTTTTAAGTTGTTTTGATATTTCATCCGGTAAATCCGATCCTATTTGTTCATCGAAATATTTTCCTAATTCTTCACACTAAACAAAATATTAATGTTAATGTTATTTAAAGTCCTAACTTTAATTAATTATTAATAAAAAATATTTTAGTCGTGTTAATTTTAAAATAATAATAATAATAATTTATACTTACTTCGTTCAACCAAAACGTTTTCGAAAGGGAAAATAATTTTTCTTGATCGATTTTTTCTTTTAACCCGTTCAAATTAAGGGAATCCTTTTCTGGAATGATTCCTATGGGTGTTGTCTTTGCTATTGATTCGTCGCCATCTATCCTTCGAAGAATCCATTCGAGAACTCTGGAATTTTCACCGAATCCCGGCCATAAAAATTTACCCTGAAATAACAAAAAAAAATTTTTAATATATATATTTTTTTCTATTTTATTTTTATAATTAATAATAATTTTTTTTTAACTTACATTTTCTTTTCTAAACCAATTAACGTGAAATATTTTGGGTAATGGTTTGTCACTTCTTTTACTCATCGATAACCAATGACTTAAATAATGACCAAAATTATAACCGAAAAATGGTCTCATGGCGAAAGGATCGTGCATTACGACTTTACCCTGATTGAAACCAAAAATTATTTTGTTGAAAAATTTTTTTTTTTTTTTATTTTAATTATTTATTTATTGTTTTTTTACTTTGTGTTCTGCTGCTGCCGTAGATTCACTTTTCATGGAAGCTCCGATAAAAACTCCATGTTCCCAATCGAATGATTCATAAATCAATGGTACGCCTTTTTCTTCTGGTCTTCTTCCACCGAAAAGAATCGCTGAAATTTCAACTCCGTTTGGATTTTCCCATTCGTTGTCAATTATGGGACACTGACCGCAGGGTGAACAAAATCTATTTAAAAAAAAAATCAAATCATTTTTGTAACATTACAAAAATTTAACGGTTTTTTTCTTTTTGGTTTGTTACCTGGAATTCGGATGAGCAGCATTTCTTCCGCAATCATCTGTCCAAGGTTTACCTAACCAGTCTGTTGCATTTTTAGGAATATCATCCATTCCTTCCCAATACACGCCACCATCTTCCGATTTTGCAACGTTTGTAAATATTGTATTTTCAAATATTGTATGCATTGCATTTGGATTTGTTTTTAAAGAAGTTCCTGAATGCATTTTAAACAAAAATTACAATTAATGTTAAATGTTCCAGGTATCAAAAAAAAAAAATTTTTTATTTTAACTTACCTGGTGCCACACCAAAAAATCCAGCTTCAGGATTAATTGCCCGCAATTTTCCTTTATTATCAAATCTCATCCAGCAAATATCATCACCGACACATTCAACTTTATATCCTGGAATCGTTGGAGTCATCATGGCTAAATTTGTTTTTCCACAAGCACTCGGAAAAGCTGCCGCTATGTATTTTTTAACACCTTGAGGATTAGTTATTCCCAATATCTGAAAAGAAAAAAAAATTCATTCAATTAATTCCCCCACTTTTCATTTAATAATAATAATAATAATTCATGCTTACCAACATATGTTCTGCAAGCCATCCTTCACGTCTTGCAATCGTACTTCCTATTCTCAATGCAAAACATTTTTTTCCTAAAAGTGAATTTCCACCGTATCCACTTCCATACGATATGATTTCATTTTCATCCGGTCTGAAAATACACAAACAAAAAATTATTATTAAATAATAATAATAATAATATTTAATTGGAGTGATTAAAAAAAGACATACTTATGTAGTATTATGGTTCTATCCGGATCGCACGGCCATGACTCACGTTCGTGAACGCCCGATATTGGATTTCCAACAGAATGTAAACATTTAACAAAATCTTGATTTGTTTCATTTAGAAAATTTAATACCGGCGTTCCCATTCGTGTCATTATTCTCATTGATGCCACGACATATGGAGAATCCGTTATTTCAATTCCTATTTTCGATAAAGGACTTCCAACGGGTCCCATTGAAAATGGTATGACGTACATTGTTCGACCTAAAAACAAAACCAAATCATATAAATATTAAAAAAAAAAAAAAAATAAGAAGAGCAGACAAAAGTATAAATTTCAAAGTTTATTTGACTACCTTTCATACAATTAGGAAAACGTTCTTGAACGGCTTTGTTATAATCTTGATAAGAGATCCAATTGCCCAAAGTACATTGGACGCCATCTTTTGTATGTGGAACCGTTTCATATTTGTCTTTTGTGCAAATAAATGTTTTGCTTTCAACTCTAGCCACATCCTTTGGATTCGTTCTAGCTAGATAACTTAATTAAAAAATACAAATTATGTTAATTCAATAACCGTTTCATAAATATTTATATCATTCTAAAACGTGTTATCAAAAAAAAATGGCGTTAAATGGATACGTATATATATGTTATCATCATTATCAATTATTTTTCACGATAAAAAAAAATTATAAATTATTATTTAAAATAAAACCTTACCAATTTTTATATTTGGGTAATGGTTCAATGACTCCTTTTTCTTTCATTAAATTTAATAAATTTTCATTTTCCAAATGTGAACCGGTACATATGTGAACATTATCCGGTTGACAAAGGATTATTTTTTCCTCAACAAAATCTCTAACTTTTGTACCCAACATTGATAAGGATGAACTTATTGTTTTTGCATTATCAACTGTACCTTTCCTCGTACCGGTTTTGCAATTGTTAGCCAATGTCGTCAAAGAACTGTACCTTAAAGCAACAATACAATTTTTATTAATGGTACCACCTAAAAAAAAAAAGAAAGAAATTACAAATATATGTATATTCGACCCTGAGGGCGGGGGAGGAGGGGGGAAGGGGAAGCTGACACTATTATTATTATTATCCTAAAAAAAATATATACTCACAATTTTGTTGTATCCTTTGCTATGTCTGGCATATTATTACTATTATTAAGAAAACAAAAAAAAATTTTTTAAACTTTTTTTAAAAATATTGTTATAAAACGTATTGTTAATAAATAATAATAATAATAATAAAAATACTAATTAGTTAATAATAATAATAATAATAAATACTTTGACGTTCCGTTCAACATTGATTGACCGTGTTGGCCAGTAATGATTGAATGACGATTACGATTGTGTTTTGAAGGCTTTTTATACTGACTTTTTTTTTTTTTTTATTAATAATAATAATAATAATAATAATAATAATAATAATAATAATAATGATTTTTTTTTATGTTATGACAATAGTAAATCTGACGTGATAAGAAATGCGAGACTTGTCATTGGATGTTTTTATAAAAGTTCATTAAAAAAAAAAAACTTTTCAACGCAAAAAATTTTTTTTTTTTTTTCGCGTAAAAAATGCGCCGCGTTTTTTTTCTTTAATAATAATAATAATAATATTTATCGATTTATATTATTATTATTATTATCAATTACATATATATATATATCAACTGTCATTTTTTTTTCCTCAAATCGATTACGCAAAAAAAAAAAAAAAAAAACGACAGAAATTATGTTATTACGAATAATAATAATAAAAAAAAAAAAAAAAAAAAGTTTTTACGTAAAAATTATCAAGGTTTACATTTATTTATTAATAATAATAATAATAATAATAATAATTTTACTTTAAGGTTTTTTATTTATTTAAATAAATTTTATTGGTCGTCCAAATTTTTAAATGCCCCCCGATAAAAACCGGTTTTTTTTTTTTTACAAGGAAAATTCCAAACAAAATTTTTTTTTTTTTTTTTTAATTAATTATTGCAAACCCGATTAATTATTATTATTATTATTATTTTATTTATTTACTTATTTATTAAATTATTTGTTTACGTGAAATTTTTTATTATTATTATTTAAATAATTAAAATAACGACGTAAAAAACAAAAATAATGATTTTATTTTATTTTTTTTTTGTAATTGATTTACTACGTCATCATCCTTGAAAACGTTTATGACGGTTGAACAAAAAATTTTTTTTTTTTTTTTTTACGAATTTTAAGATAATTATTATTATTATTATTATTATTAATTTTCGCGAATAAAAAGTTCATCCACTTTCACCTCGTTCTCTTACGCAACACGCACACACGCACACACACACACACACATAAAAAAAAAAAAAAAAACTAAGAGATAATTTATGACCGTCGGACGGTTATATTTTACCAATGCAACGGGTTAGACATCGCCAAAATCAACAACAACAACTGAGGAGGGTCCGAGGTCAACAGTGCGCGGGCTGCGAGGAAATTGCAACCAATTTTTTTTTTCCTTTTAATAATAATAATAATAATAAATTTTCCAAAAAGAAAAGCCAACCGATTAATAAAAAACTAGGGGGGGGGGGGAAAAAAAAAAATTTCATTTTACTAATTGAAAATTCTACGAAAGGAATCCATATTTGATTAATTTAAAAAGTTTTTTTTTTTTTTTTTTGGAATTAAACGAAACCTTTTAAATATTTACAATTATTATTATTATTAAATCGAAAATTAGTTTTCCTCCCCCTCCCCTCCATTCTCGATTTAATGTAATTAATAATTAAAAAAAAGAAGAAAAACCGGAATGGAAAAGGAAAAAATCAGCAAAAAAATTTTGCAACCGTTAAAAAATAAAAATTTGAAAAAAACACTTGTTCGTTCTTTTCGTTCGAATCGTTCGATTTTTTAAAAAACGAGTTTTTTTTAACGTATTTTTCTTTTTTTTTTATTACGTTATCCGCGTTGCTTATTATTATAATTAGTACTTTACACAATCGATCGATCGATCGATAGATCGATCAATCGTTCGTTCGTTCGTGTTTAATATTAAATATGTTTGTTTGTAACAACAATTGTAAAAACGCGTAATAACTTGTTTGTTTGTTTTTTATAAAAAATACATTTTTAAAACGTACAACAAGAGATTAATTAATTAATAATTAATACGAATAAGTAAGTAACTGATAAGTTAAAAAAAAAAACAGGTTTAAGCTTTCATTTTAAAAAAAAAACGAACAAACAAACAAACAAACAAGAGGCTTCCGCATTATGAAAAAACATTGATTATGTTTTCTAATTAATTATTAATTTAAATTAAAAACAACAACAACAACAACAACATGACGTCCTTGAACAAAATTATTATTATTATTATTATTAATTTATAATTAAGTAAGAAAAAATCGAAAGTTGATAAAATAAAAAAAAAATTTATTATTATTATTATTATTAATTTTACGTGGCCTGCAAAAATCAGGCAGGCCCACTGTCTCGACCAATGAGAGAGAATTTTTGATTAGTAATTATAATATCATCTTGAACCTTGAACTTGTTTTAATCAAATAATAATATCACATGGTTAGAAATTATTATTATTATTATTGTCGTTGTTGCCACCTTCGCACATGTTTTTATTACGACCAATTTTGTCGTGACAATAATAATAAGTTGTTCCTGTTGTTGGTTGTTTGTTGTTGTTGTTTTCGTCACATGAACAATACGAACGTTCGTTATTATTATTATTATTATTATAAGTTTTACGTCATCGTATATAAATTTTTGTCAAATTAAAATTTAAGAATTAGCTAATAGAGAGAATTATCGATAGATAGTAAAAAAAAAAAAAATTTTTTTTTTTCAAGTGCGGAAGATGTAAAAAAAAAAAAAAAAAAAAACTATGGCTGCTATCGGTGAGTGAGTGCGTCAGACTGCCTTGAAAATTAAGTCAAAACAAAAGCACTTGAAACAAAAAAAAAAAAATCATTTTACAAACAAACAAACGAACAAAAAAATTTTTCTTTTCTTTCTTTCTTTCTTTCTTTCTTTCTTTTTCTATTCGATATAACAACCGTAAGAGTAAGAAAGATAGAAAACAAAGCTAAAAGGAAAATAATTGCTAAAACAAATTTTAAGTTGCCTTGTTTTACATAATAAATTAAAAAAAAAAAAAATTTTCTTTTCATTTACCTTGATTTTTTTCTTTTCAGCTTTACATAATAATAATAATAATAGTAATAATAATAATAATTTCTTTTTCATTGCACATTAAATAAAACCCTAAAGGAAATTAATTTTCCTTCGTGTAATAGAAAATGAAAAGAAAATTTTTTTTTTTTTTTTTTCTAAAAATTTAAATGTCCATTTAAAAATCTAATTCAATTAATTAAAAAAAAAATTAATTAATTATATATATATATATACACACGTTCTTTAATAATAATAATAATAATAATAATAATAAATAAATTAAAAATAATTTTTGTAGATTAAATCACATAAAAAAAAAAAAAATTTTTTTTTTGCTTTCTTATCATAAATTTAACAGAAGATAATGAATATACACACATATATATTTAATTACCTTAATAACATGATGATAACATAAGAACGAAATTAACGTAAAAAAAATATTATTATTATTATGTTGTGATGGTTGTGGTTGTTGTGGTTGTTGTGGTTTTCACTTAAAATCTTAATTAAAATTTTTAAATGACACACACACACAAAAACACACACGATTCGCGGCAACCACTTTCCAGATACTGAAACCAAACCAATTCCAATTGGCAACAAACGAATCACTTCCATCAACAACAACAACAACAACATTAAGGTCGATTAAAAAATTTTTTTTTTTAATTATTTGTTGTACGATGGAAATATTAAACCAATCGGAATAAATCCATAAAATTAAATTTATTAAACCTGAAATACATTATTATTATTATTATTATCATTACGATATTTTTCATTCATGAATAAATAATTGTATTTTTTTACAATAAATAAATAAATAAATTTATGTACGGAGCATGGAAAAACGATTAAGCTGGAAAAAAAAACAAAAACAAATAATTTTCATTCCTTGTCCTTGCTAATAATAATAATAATTATTATTATTATTTTCTTCTTATTTGCGATTTTCGATATAATAATAATAATAATAATAATAATAATAATAACAACAACAACAACAAATTTAACAAAAAAAATAATTTAATAACAAATTATTCGTAAATTATTATTATTATTATTAATTAAAAATACTCATTATATATATCGATAAACTTTTTTTCATTTTAAATAATAATAATAATAATAATAATAATAATAATAATAATAATAATAATAAAAAACAAAACAACAACAACAACAATAATAATAATAATAAACTACTGTCGATTCCGTCATCTTCAATAAGAAAATTAATACCTATTATTATTATTATTATTATTATTATTTGTTTTTAGTAATTCTTAACAAACGCTTAAACACGTTAAGAATTTTTTTTTTTCAAATATTAGAAAATATTTTTTAAATAAACAATTTCGAAGGTTTATTATTATTATTATTATTATTATTATTTGATTATTTGTCAAACTCAAATTTTATTTGTTTTTAATTTAATAATAATAATAATTATTATTATTTGATGCAAGTTACGTAAATATTTAAATTTTTTTATACACATATTTAAATTTTAATTTTTGTTGATCGAATTAAATAAACTAATGACTAATATATATATAATTACGTTGTCGATTTTAACAAACAATAAAATATTTCAAATAATAAACAAATAAATATTCTTTATATTTTGTTAAGATTTAAATTAAGGATAAAAAAAAAAAAAAAAAAAAAAAAAAACTTGCAATCAATTATGGTCGATTTATATGAAATATTGCAACAACGACATTTTTTTTTATTCATTTTCTAACGTGTTATTTCAATAATAATAATAAAAAAATTAGATCAGAAAATTTAAATAATTAAATATTACGACAAAAAAAAAAAAAAATGTCTGAACGGGTTATTATAATTTAAAAAAAAAAAAACGTTGTGAAATAAATAATTGAATCCACCTTGAAATTGTTCTAAAAAAAAAATTTTTTTGAGTGAATTAAAACAGAGCTTGATGTTTAACTAATTTTCTAAAACATCCTCCTTCGCTTTGCATCAATTCTTTATAATTTCCTTTTTCAACGACTCTCCCTCTTTCCAATACTATTATTTGATCTGGAAAACAAAAAACGATTTGTTTGCAATTAAGACAAAATTTTGTATAAACGATTATCATTATGAGGACAGGCAATAATAATAATAATAATAATAATAAAAACCTGAATTTTTAATCGATGACAGCCTGTGTGCGATAACTAGAACCGTTCGTCCTTTCATTATTCTTTCCAAAGCTTCTTGTACCAAATGTTCGCTTTCGGCATCTAAAGCACTCGTTGCTTCGTCCAACAATAAAATTTTCGGACTCTTGAGTGAAAACAACATTTTAGATAAATTATAAAATATCAACGACAAATTAAAAATGGACGTTTTTAAAGTCGAAGAAAATAATTACTTTTATGAGTGCTCTTGCTATTGCTATCCTTTGCTTTTGCCCCCCGGATAACATGACGCCCCTTTCACCAACTCTCGTATCGAATCCCTGAGTAAAATTTGATATGAAATCATAACAATTTGATTCTTTGGCTGCTTGAATTAATTCTTCTTCGGTTACGATTGCATCTTCGGAAGCACCGTAAATAATATTTTCTCTTATCGAACCGGAAAATAAAATCGGTTCCTGTAAAATATTATTTATTTAAAAAAAAAAAAAAAAACGTGTAATTAATTATTAATGTCTTACTTGTGCGACAAATCCAATGTGTTTTCTAATCCAATGAGGGGATAAATCGTGAATGTTGAAACCGTCTAAAAGAATTTCCCCTTTGGTCGGCTCGTATAATCTAAGCAAAATGGAGGCTATCGTGCTTTTGCCACTTCCGCTGGAACCAACTATGGCGGTAACTTTGGCTTCTGGAATATCTAAACTCAAGCTTTCTAAAATGGGTGTGTCTTTTCGGGTGGGATAAAAAAAGGTAACGTTTTTAAAAGTTATAAATCCTTTTGGCTCCGTATTAGGTATTAATCCATCTGAAAAAAAAACAAATTAAAGGTTTACGGTATTTTTTTTCTCATATTAAAAAGTTATGTAAATGGAAACTTACCGGTTGAAGAAATTGGTGGAACTCTGTCGATGATTTCCCACAGTCTGATACTCGCTCCAAGACTCCTGTTTAATTCTGAATAAAAATTGGTTAATCCTGCAATTGAAACTCCAATGTATGCTGCATATAAAAGAAATGACGTCAAATTGCCAACCGTTAACGATCCGTCACCGACTAAAAAACCGCCATAACAAAGTACTGTCAATGTGATAGCATTCCCACTCATTCCAGTCTGCAAAAAAAAAAAAATTGTTAATCTTCGAAAACTAATTGTAATGTAATATACATTTTTTTAAAATAAAAATGTCTTACCAAACCGAAAAAGACACCTCTAGCCAATGCTTCTTTATACTGTAAACTCAATGCATGATTGAGACTATTTTCATAATTATTAATTTCAAAATTTTCATGGCCGAAAACTTTAACTGTTCTTATACTAGAAAGTTTTTCTTCTGCAAGTGAAGTCGCTGTCGCAAAGGAATCCTAAAAAAATAAAATTATATTTTAAAAATTATTAAAATTATATAAGTTTTGTTTTACACATTAAAAAGCATGCAAATTTTTTGAAAAATACCTGAACTTGTTTTGTTAAATTTTTAACAAATCTACCGTAAACAATTGCTAAAGCAGCAACTGGTGGCACAACTGAAATCCCAACCAATGCCAGCTCTGAAGACATGTAAAACTGAAAAAAAAAAAAAAAATGAAAATACAATTATTACTTTTAATATGTAATTAAAGGAAATATTATTATTATTTTTACAATTTAAAAAACAGTATTATAAATAAAATTAGATTAATTACCCGAGATATATATAAATAATTTATCGATTAGATATCATTAAATTTGATAGATATTAAAATACTTAGGTTACCATGATAATAATGCCACCAATAACCATAATTCCAGATCTCAAACCATCCGATATGTTTTTAGTGAGAGCTTGACAAACAAGTTGAGTGTCAGATGAAAGCCTATTTATCAATTCACCCGTTTTTTTTTGATCGAAATATGCTAAATCTTGATTAAGCAGAGATTTAAAAACTTTTTCTCTAAGATTTTTTGTCATTTTTTGTCCTGTAAATTTTATTTCGCATAAAGTATTTAAATTTAAAAAAAAAAAAAAAGAAGTTAATAGAAATAAATTATCATCTTACCTGCTACAGAAATTAAAAAAACTCTACCAAAATTAGCGACACCTCCGATAAAAAATAAAGTCAATAATATAAGAGATAATTTTGTTAAATTCTCTTTCATTTTAATCGTATCTTCTGTTTGAATAATGTCAATAATTTTCCCTAATGAAAATGGCACTGCAATTGTAATACTACTAGAAATTAATAAAAGGCAAAGTGCACCTAAAAATAATCGATATTGGATTAAATTAAATTATTTATCTTGTCCAAACAAAAAAAAACAAAATGGTAATTATTTTTTAATTATTTTACCTGCTATTTTCCATTTTTCTGGTTTGGCTAAACTTAATAGCCGTCTAAATTCACCTGGTTTATTTTTCACAACAGGTTTAATTTTAAAATTTTTAATTGTAACATTATCACTTAGTTTTCTTTTTGATGTATGAAAAAAATTATACACAGATCGATCGTTTGATTTAAAACAACAAAATGTAAAAGTTTTTTTGCAATCGTTTTTTGTTATATTTGTACCTTTACTAATAAATAAATTAGAAACTTTGGTAACGAAATTAGGAAGAGAAACAAATGTCGATTTAGGTCTTATCATCACTTGAGTTTTATAATTTAAAACACAATAATATTTAGTTAAATAATCAAATGATTTCATTTTAGAAAATTTTTTTTTAAATAACACCAACATTTATTAATAACAATTATTAAAAACACAACTTTAAACAATTTCAAATTTAATTAATTAATTAGAAAAAAATATTTTTTTATTACTTTTTAATTGTTTGTTTTGTCAGATGGTTATAGAAGCCATAGAGTAACTTCACTGTTTGATTAATAACTACAAAAAAAAAAGGGCTACTCATTTAAAAATTTTTAATCAATATTTTAAAAAAAATTTTTCCTTATATATTCAATCTCTTTGACCTAATCGTGAAAAAATTATATTTTGTTTTCAAAAGAATATGAATATATTTTTAAATTTTGAAATCTTAATGAAAAACGAATTTCTTTTTAAAATTACCTTCTTAATTTCATCAAAAAAATATTAATTATCTAATCTGTTTTAGTATTTTTTCTTGATAAAATTTTCGCGCCATTTTTTTTTTTTTAAACGACAATGCAATCTTCTAATTATATTAAAATAATAATTACTTTAAAAAATAATAATAATAATTGAATAATAATGGAGACACCCAAAATCTTCAGCACCTAAAAATTTAAAATTTAAATTTAATATAATTTTTTTAAAAGATTAACTTAATAATAAAATTAATAATATGAGATAAAAGATTGATAAATCAAATACATTAAACCATAATTAAAAATATAAGTTTAATTATTTAAATAATGTTGGAAACGTTTCCGGAGTATCGATATACGCCATGTTTTATTCTTGTTTTTAAGCCTGATTAATTTTTTTTTTTTTTTTTTTTTTGGTTAAAATGTTTTTCTTTCTTATTTAGTTATAATATATCGTGCTTACAACAATGCATCATTAATTATGAGTTTTTTTTGAAAGTTTTATCCGTCTTCGCTCATATACTAACGTCATTTTATATTACATTTGTTTTTAATCATTTTAATAAGGAAAATGGGAAATGCTGGTAGTAATGTAAGAGAAAGAAATTTAAAAGGAAGTGATACTGCTCCACCATCTCCTACCAAAGATGGTCAAGCTTTTACTTTTGATAAGAAAAAAAGAAGAAAAGGAACATTAGTTGGATCACATGATGATGATGGCCCTGTTTACACCAAAGCACAACTTCAACAACAGGTAGTGAAAAAAAAAAATTTTTTTTTTTATTATTTAATTATTATTTTTTGTAATAATTATATTTTAGGTACTCTTCTTTAAAGTGTTTATATTTAGTAAGATATTTACATTTTAGGATGATTTTGAAACGCTGAAAAGACAAAGAGCTGCTACTTTGTCAGAAGGTACCAAAGTCGGTGATAGAGTTTTACCTACAGTTTTTAAATGGGAAGGTGGTGGTAGACAAGTTTATATTTGTGGTACTTTTAATGATTGGAAAACAAATTTACCCATGGTTAAAAGGTAGTTATGATATTCCTAAACATATTTTTTATTAAATATGTAACATTTAAATTACCATTATTCACCTTCATTCAAATATTTTATATAGGTAGAGTCGTAGAAAAAACAATAAAATATATATATATATTTTTTTTAAAATTATGAAGTGTTCCACTCAATAATATTTGCTTTTAGTCATGGTGATTTTGTTACAATAATTGATTTGCCAGAAGGTGAACACGAATATAAATTCTATGTAGATGGAGTTTGGAAACATGATCCGAACATGAGACTAAAAGATGGCAACTCCGGAACCAAACATAATTTAATAACTGTCAAAGGCTCTGATTTTGAAGTATTTCAAGCTTTGGCAAATGATAGTGACAATAACTCAGGTGATTTACAAAGTAAGTTAATAATTATAAATAATTCTCTTATTAGATTTCATTTGTTATAAAGTTTAAAACGTTTAATTAATTAATATAGGTGAATATTCTCAAGAAATACCTAGTAATGTTTCATGGGAAAAAATATCAGGACCCCCAATCTTGCCTCCACATTTATTACAAGTTATTTTAAATAAGGATACCCCTTTATCAGTGAGTAACACATTAAATTAATTATTTTAAAAAAAAAAAATAAAATAAAATTTGTAATTTTGTGCATTATTAAATTTTTAGTGTGAGCCAACGTTATTGCCAGAACCAAATCATGTAATGTTAAATCATTTATATGCATTATCGATAAAAGATGATGTCATGGTACTCAGTGCAACTCATCGTTACAGAAAAAAATATGTTACTACATTACTCTATAAACCTATTTAAAATTTTCTATCTTAAACAATATTATTCTGTATAAAATACAACTATGTCAAATAAAATTTATTAAAAAATAATATATATAAAATTATTTAAATTATTAATTTCTTTCTTTTTTTTCTTATTTTGTAAATTATTATTGATATTTACTTTCATAATAAACAATATAAGTGATGAAAATAAATCATTATCAAATTGATAATTTGAATCTTTTATCAGAAAACCTTGAGAAGTTAAAATTTAACTAAAAAAAAATTACTTTTAAAAAAATGATATGAACAATGTTAAAAATGGTTTTTTTTTTTTTTTTCTAAACTTATATCATTTACAAAACTTTTTCTTTATATTATTTATAAAATATTTAAATGAAGAATATATTATTTATGAAAAAAATATAAATTTTATTAATAAAATTTTAAAATAATAAGATATACACTTTTGTACATTATTTTTTTTTTTTTTTTTTTTATCAACAAGCGTTTATGAAACTTTGAACGGATCACTGTGTAATTAAAAAAAATTATTTAAAGTTTTTTCTTTTTTTTTTTTTTCTTTATACGTGAAAATTTTACTGTAAAACGTGTTCATAATAATCACAATAAGTTGTGTCTATTCCACTTTTTATAGCGCTTTCTGTCACCAAATGATTTAATTCTGAAGCACTATAACCTAAAAGTTGTTTTAAATCACACACAAACTTATACACAAATCTTTTCCCATGAACCTAAAAATTCAGTATTTTGATATTTAAAATCTACCTTTAACTATCCATAACAAACAAAACAAAAAATAAACAATAATAATAATAATAAAACTTGCCTTAGATATCATATCACCATCGTAATAATACCTTAAAGCTCTGCTTAATTTTTCATATGTCATGGCCGGTTTATTTTTTCTTTGACCCCAAAGTTGAGCCACCATTTCAGGATTATTTAATTTAAATTCTCCATCATCAGTCACCCATTGGATAACATCACGATGATATTTATCAGTGAGTAATTCTAATAGAAATTGCCATAACTGAATTTGACCATTGTTACCTGTTGTTTCGAATAATCAAAAAATGAAATTTAAAAAAAAAAATCAAATAAACTTACAATAATAAAGAAAATTTTTTTTTTAAAAGGTTCGAGAAACAAACCAACCTGTTCTGTTGCCTCCTCCTGTTTTATGCTCGTTAACAACAGAATTTGATCCTAAAACTCTTGAAATTTTTCTACGATTTTGCATTCTGCCAACTTTTTTACTTTCACCAGATGTCGAAGGCATTATTTCTATTGTCGGTTTTTCTTCTGCTTTTTGGTTTTGAATTATAGCTAACCGATAATAATAATAAAAACATTTAAGCAAAAATTAGGTTAATAATTTAAACATGGAAATTTTGTGTTCACTTCTTGTTTTTATAACTTCCCAACTATTGAAAAAAAAAAAAAAAAAAAAAAAAAAATTCTCACCCACAAATTTACATTTTCTTAATAGTTCTAAATGAGTCCAAAATAAATCATCAGGATCTTTGGGAACTTTTTTCTTAAAGCTATCTAATGACATTTTACATAAATCGCTACCATTTATCATCCAATCTGAGAGTTTAAGACCACTTAAATTGAATTGCCTTACAGCCCAAACTAACCATAATTTAACATGTTGTTTGTTCCATAATTTTGGATCTAAATATTACAAAAAAATAATTTTTTAATAATCACTTTTTATAATAAAAAAAAAAAAAAAAAGTAAATAAAAATAAATTTCCTTACCTTTGGGTACTTTTAAACGTTCAAGTTCTTTACTAAAATTACTATCGATAACCCATTGAGCAGCCAACTCTTTTTTTTCTTCAAATTTATCTTCATCTAAAAAAAAAAAAAAAAAAAAAAAATTAAAAACATTAATTAAAGTAACAGACAACAGTAATTTCAAAATAATAATAATAATAATAATAATAATAACTGGTTCAAAATTTTTTGTTACTTTTCACACATTAAAATATTTGATAAAAACTTGAAATAAAAATACTTACTGCATTCTAAAAATTCATCTGTAGGTTTTAACACATCAATTATATTTATCTTTTTAGAATCTCCTTCTATTTTTATTTCAACATTTATTTGAACCAAACCTTCTCCTTGTACACATTGATCTACTAAATTTTTATGCGGCTCAAGCTAAAAAATAAAAACAAATCATGTGATGTAAATAAGATTAATATAATATGTAATTTTTACTACTTTAACCAACCATTTGAGCATCTTGCAACCAGAAAGTATATTCCGATAAGTCAATATTAAAACGTTTTTGAAGAATATTTCTTAAAGTGTAAAGTGGACACTGTATATCCATGTGTTCTATTATTATTCCATTTTCATTACTGGAAAAAACAATAATAAAATGAATGAATAAATTATAAAAAAATTTTTAAATGAAATACAAGAAAAAATTAAATGGAATTTTTTTTTTTAAATATGTTACTGTTCTAAATATTATATGTGATGTTTAAACATAACAATGCTTAAGTATAATGATATTACAATCATATACTTACATTTCACTTTTTACATTTAAAAGTGATATGTCATCAGAATACAAAAGATGATTTCCATTATGAATTAAAAATTCTTCCGGAGAAACCATTTCGCAATTATGTCCCTCAATACTTCCTAAAAAAATAATTTACAAATTAATAAAATTATAATTTAATAGCTTTTAAAAAAAAATTTATAAATATACCCACCTGTTAATCCTACATCAGAAGAGTCTAAAATCTCGACTTCACCACTTTTAATTTTCATTTTTTTAGGTATTAAAAACTTTGACATTTCTTCATCGCCCTCTTGATCGAGGTTTTCGCCATCTTCCAAATTTAATATACTGAAATTAAAAAAAAAAAAAAAACATTATAAATACGTGGTAAAAAAATTTGAAAATTAATTTTTAATATAAAAATTTTCATTTACCTTTTTCTTTTTTTCTCATCCATTTCATCATTTTGAATTAAATAATGTTCATTTTCTGAATCTCCTAAAATGTAAACATCTGAATTGCTATCCATTATCTAAAATAGAACAGAGGGTAAAAAACCTAAATAAACCAAAATATATTTTACAATTAAATGTTTTAATATATACAAGGTGTTATTGAAAAATTTAATAAACAAAAAATCATTTACAACATTATTAGTAACGGTTTTACTGTCTCTCAAAATCAAATTAATCATAATGATATACATTAAATGCAGTACGTTTATGCAGTATTACAATGACAGTACATCACCTCGAATCTAACATGAGCATTTTTCATTTTAAATCATTTGAAATATATTTTTTTAAAAATTGTTTCATATTTAAATCCATTTGAAAGGAGTGCTTTTCGGGAACACTTAAACAGTAACAAAATCCAAAACAATTTATAATTTTTGTTATTATGCTACGTCACGTAGGCGTCTATGCTATGCGAACATACTGACCTCAATAAGTAAGATTTTTTAAAAATAATTTTTACAAATTTAAATAAATCGTTATTAAATTTAATGCAAATAAAACTTACGATTTCTTATGAGTTTTCCCAAACTTTTACATAACAGGAAGTTTAATTTACACAACGGAAATGAAAATTACTTTCAGGAAAAGGATAGAGATCCTCTTTTTGTTTGTTAAAGAAGCTCGTTCAGAAATTTATTATTTTACCTATCGTCGTGGTAGTAGACTCTTATTTAAATAATAAACGTACCGCATTAAAGTTTTTTTTTTCTATTTCTCAGACAAATACTTGGCTCGACGTTGCGTCTTTAATATTTCACTGTTGTTATCTATAAATTCGGAATCATTCCATTTCAGTGTTTAAATCTGAAAATAAACTATAAAAGTAATTTTATAAAATAACAATTAAATTTTCAATTTAAAAAAGATTATACATATTTACATTTAAATTATGTTGCTGAGTAATTGTAAGTTTTAATAATTAATAATAATAACAATGAAATTATTAAAAATTTATATTAATCGTTAACAAAGAAATATTACATTAACTATAAACTACAAATTTTTATAGATATTAAAAATTTATCTACCTATATTAATATTCATAGATAATATACAATTAAATTATAATTAAAAATGCACATAAATTATTAAAATTATTTTAATTTAGTAGTTATGATTCTTATTTTAACGCACAAAGAATTTAATAAGTTACACTACATTCACCAAACGCAAAATACCAAATAACATTTTTTGCTTTAAAATTGTTGCCATGTTTTAAAATTCGATGAACACAAACACACATATCACAATATTGGCAAGACTTTATAAAAGTCTATTCTTAATATAAACGTTATTAACTTGATTAAATAATAATAATAATAATGAAAAAGTCAAGTCTTTTTTTTTTTTTAATTAATTAAAATAAATACAATTTTTTTTTATTTATTTTATTTAAAACAGCATTTCAAATATCTCTCAAAACGACGAAAAAAAATTATATTTTCACTGTACAATCAATCACAATTATTTAACAATTATATATATATATATATATATATATATATATATATATATATATATATATATATATTGTTAAAAAGATTAAGAAATTCTTATAGTTTGACAATATCTCATTGTAAACTTCAAGAATATTTAAATGTTTTGAGAGATATTTGAGATGCAACTTCGTCCTAACATCCCCCATTATCGAGCCTGAAAAAAAAAAAAATAATAATAATAATCGTGTAAAATACTTTAGTACTAAATCAAAATGAAAAAAAAAAAAAATAATAAATTAAGTTCTTACACTTGTCGGTTGAAAAGAATGTCGGATTTTGCATTTATAAAATAAATAATTAAAAATGAAATTCCGAAAACGAAAATACCCATTGATAAAGTGAATATTTCCTGTTTTTTAGACGGTTTTATAAAAACTCGAGCGGACATTTTTTCCTGCCAAACTGATTCCGTCCACGTTGAATATTCGTGTGAAGTCCAATCGTAATCTAAATACACAAAAAAAAAAAGAAAAAATAGAAAAATTTTCAATAATCTAAAATAAAAATGGATACCGCCATGATGATTTTTGTAAGCTTACTCTCGATTTCGAACGCTGGACTTTGAGCAATTGAATAATTCATAAAACTTTCTACGCAGACTCCATCCGGATCATTTCCAGCCATCCAAAAATATTGTCTAACCTAAATAAAAAATATTTTTTCCCCCCCGAGTCATTTTATTAATAAAAATCAACTTCATGTTACTGTGAAGACAAATTCAAATCATACCAAATCGCCATCATTGTTGTGACAAGTCGAACGATTTCTAGGTACGACGGTTCCAGTCAACCAAGCCAACGTCAACCCGGTCAAAGTCGTTATGTTGCTATTTTTAAGTACTCCCACGTACACGGAATAAGGTTTACTATCGGATAATTTTCTAAAAGTAACGTTTTCGAATATTTCACAAGATGGAGTTTCCAAATAACAATATAAAAGCTCATCTATTAAATAAGGCTGAAACGAAAAAAAAAAAAAAAATCATTCAACCATCGCCATTTTTTTTCTTCTTTTTTTTTTTTCATTTTTAAAATTTATCCTCACCAAATTGTAATTATTATTTGTTGACAAATTTATTTCATCGAATATCGTAGTGTATAAAGCTTTGGCTAAACCCATTGAAAAATTTCCCAAATACATTTGTATGCTATCATCGTCAGGTTTTGTCTTATTAAAATAAGTAAAATTAAGGTTTTTACCCGTGTCGAATATACTGTGATAAAACCTGGAAAAAACGAAAAAATTAAAATAAAAAATAACCATTAAAGAAAATTAAAAAAAAAAAATTAAATTTTTTATACTTGTTATTAAATTGTGAATCGTAACTCCCTAAAACCACGCCATTTATATTTTTGTCTTTTTTTATAAATCTTTGCAATGAAGAGGGTGGAAGTCTTCCGTGAGATCCCGACATTTTAATTCCCATCCCGTTTAATTCATTTTTCAAAGCTTCGATAAATTTGGAAACCTTTTTTTTTAAAAAAAAAAAATCAATTAAATAAACTCGAATTGAAAAAAAAAAAATCGTGGAAGCAGAAACGAACGAACGAATGACGATTAAATGACAATTTTTTTTTTAAAAAAAACTTTATTAAAATATTTAACTTGCCAAAATGTTTTTATCGTTCGGTACGGGATCCAATGAATGATAATGAATTTCTCCATTTAATATTTCGTCTATTTCTACGACTAAACCCACGTCGTCCATTTTTAATAATTTACTTTGTTCTACGACGTTCTCTTGTAACCTGTGAGGGAACGCATCGTTTTCCATATCGTATATCATTCTAGAGGAACCGATGTAATCGTATGTTTCACCGTGATAAAAAACAAACATTATGTTTTTTTCTGTAAGATCCCCACACACCCCCCGCAAAAAAAAAAAAAAAAAAAAAAAAAATTAAAAAACAATTTTTTACATTTGTACACACACATACACACTTGCAATCTTCTATCACTTAAATTTTTTTTTTGTTTGAAATTAAAAAAAAAAAAAACAAATGCATATAAATATATATATATGTATATTTCGTCACATGTTATTGATAAATAAAAATTTTAAGTTATATATTTTCCTAATAATTAAATGACAAATTTTTGAATAAAAACAATAAAAAAAAAAAAACAGAAAAAAAACCAAAAAAAAAAAAAAACCTTTTTATTTTCCTAACCGTCGTCAAAATTTTTACAAGAGTGGAATTAAGTCAATATTAGGAGCCATATTTTTTTTATTTATTATATAAAATTAAATAATTGATCGTAAAACGTGTATGGATAATTAATTTCGTTGACACAATACTTACGAACGTACTTTTTTCATTATTATTATTATTATTATTATTATGGGAAGTATCGACAAAGAAGTGGAAAAAATTACTTTTGCTAAAAAAACACCGGAAAAACAAAATATCCACAGGTAGGAAAGGTTTCAGTTATGTAGATTTTACTTCTTGTTTACTTATACAACTTACCGTCGGACCTTTTTTCGAGCCCCCCCCTGCCTCCCCCCTCCGACCCTCAATAACATCACATTTATTATTTTTACAGATTTGTTGACATTAATTCAAAATTCAATGAAGAAAAACGTTTTGGAAAAAACAACGAAAAAAGTAAGATTGAATTTTTATGTAATAAATGGTAGATAATAATGAAGAAAATTTTCTTCGACATGATTGAACTCATTTAATAATTATTGTAAATTTTTTTTTTCCAGATCAATTAGAAATATCGAAAGCATTAAGTCACGTCTTATTTAAAAGCAACGGTTTGGATAAAATTGTACCGAATGAAATAATAAATAAAAGTCAAAGTGCTGCCGCGTCAAAACGATCGGGAATGGTGAGACCTCGATTTTTTTCCGGCGATAGATACAACGAATTACTCCGAGCGAAATCGGCGTATAAAAATCGAATCGAAAATATCGTGGCATCGACTCTCGCATCGAAATTAAATCACAGTTACACTAAATTACCAACCATGAAAAACGTGGATAAAACGGATAAAATAGTTCCGAAATTTAAAATGGAAAAAGAAGTAAATGGTAAATCGAAGGAAGATCGCGACGACAAAATGTCGGTTAATGCAAAATTAACGGAACCTGGGAAAGAAACGACCACAGACACTCAAACTTTTCCTTCGATAGGAAGTGAAATGAGCAAACCGGATGAGGTTTAAAATTAATAATAATAATAATAATAATTTCCTTTTCCTTTTTTGTTTTTATAATTTGATTTAATTTGTTTTATTTTAAGGAAAAACGAGACCCGGAAAAGGAAGATTTGTCTTCTATGGCATCCTACATCATAGATCCCGATGAAATATATCATTTGAGTAACAAAGACCTGCGAAATCTTTTCGTGAGAGCTGCCGAACTTGCTGTTCAAACGAAAATGCTACAGAAAAACGTATCGAAATTTCAAGAGAAAAAAAAAACGTACAAATCATCTCACCGGTGCGAATTTAAAACGATTGAAAAAACGCTCGGATGCTGCGAAAAGGAAATGAAAAACCTACTGGAACAATACAATCTCGTCAATCAGAAAAACGAATATCATAAGAAAAACATTTTGCTCAGGATTCAACATCGTCAAGATATAAAAAAATATAAGGATTTGAAAGAAAGGTATTACAATCACTGCGATTTGTATCAGAAAAAAATCAAAGAGCTCGAAAATATAATAGAAGAAAAAACTAAGACGGTCGATTTGGAGAGGGAATCAAAGCGGAAATTGCAAAAATGCGTCAAAAGGATGCAAAAAAACGCAAGCGAAAAAGAAATCGTTAAACTCGTTTATAAAGAAGCTCCACCGAATTTGGCTGAACAAAGAGAAAAAATTAGATCTACGGCACTCAAATTAGTTCTCAAAGGTCAGACAAAAAATTTATTACTCTATGGTTTTAAAATTAAACCCCATCCTCCCTTCCCTTATTATTATTATTATTATTATTATGTGATTTTTTTTTGTCAGGATTTCTCATTCAAATAAAAAAATTAGAAGAAGAAAGAAACAAATTACTCACTGATCCAAGATATACAAATTCAAGCAATTCAATAAATGCAATGTCGAATAAAAAGGAATACTTCATAAAAAGCATTCAAGATCAAATAAATAAATTAAAGAAATACATAACACCCTAACAAAAAAATAATTATTAATCGTTAATATAATAATAATTCGTAGAAAAAAACCGAAATGTAAATTTTTTTAATTAAAAAAAAAAAACCTCTAAAAAGTTATTTTGTCTGCTCTCAAACTAACTCGCTGTCGAAAAGTTTCAAATTTTTATTAAGAGAATAAATAAAAAAAAATTATTACTTCGAAATTCACTGCCATCGATTAAAATTTTAAAAATGCTATTTAAAGAATATAATTAAGGTAAAGAAACTTTAAATGACTCATTTATACTTATAGTCTTTAGAAAAAGTTAAAATATTTATTTAAGCTTACCTTGAAGCGGAAGCCCTTTGACTAATTTACTTAAATAATGAGCGACAGACAGAAGAGTTACAATTCCTAATACTGGAGAACCAGCTCCTGGTACTAAATTATCAAACATTGATGTTCCATCAAGTCTTGCAACCACTAAAATTACAGATCTTGGTTTCTCTAATTCGTTCACTGCCTTCGAAGATTCAAGTATCCTGGGATAAAGTGGCAAATGAATATTTAAACCCAGTAGAGGATCACAATATCTCACTGAAAAAAAAAAGAAAAAAAAAAAAAAAAATTAATTAAATAGAATTAAATTACTCGATTATTGTGAATCATTCAACATCCAAAAACGATTATAAAATATTATGATTATAGAATAAATTTTTCGAATAAAACAAAAATCATTTAGATAAAAATAAATGATAAAAAAATTATTATAAAAAGTAGTCACAATCTTATCTTTTAAACTTGAAAAAATTTTTTAATAATTATTATTTGAAAACATTTACTTACTCGGAGTTAAATTGTTTATCATTGTACTTCTTCTGATGCATGTTTTTGAATCAACTGCAGCCAACATGTACGATGTTAATTCAACTGCACATAATGATCTGGTCTCTTGACGTTCCATATCATGAGCATTATGTTTTTCAAAGCACTGAAAAGTTTAAAAAAAAATTATTTTTACTATTAAAATATACACATTAATAAAAAAATATACATAAAAATATATATATTATTACAATATATACTTGAAAAATATTATTTTTTAAACGTAATCAACTTTGAAATAGATTAATGAAAGATTATTAAAAAATTTTTTATTCTTATTAATCTAAAATATTTTAAATAATAAAAGAAAAAAATTATACTTTACCTCATGTAAAAATTCAATATCCTTTGGATAGTCATCTGAATCTATATATATTATTGGGAATCCAAAATCGACAAACAAAAGTGAGGACCCAACACTGTTCCAAGGTTTATTATCACAATGACTGTCAATCAATCCTGAGTATCTATTTGGACATGAATCGTCTGGACTGTATGATGTTCTATTTGAAGTCAATATAACACCAGATACTTTTCCAGAATCTTTTAATTGCAATAATGCATCTGAAAAACTAAAATTTAAATTATTTTTTAAAATTATTGTAAAAACATTACAAATTAAATTCCATCATTAAATGAACATACTTTGGTAAATCGAAAGGCAGTAAAACTACGTAGGGACTAGCTTTCGCATCAGAAATAAGCCAACTAAGGTCTTCTTGATTTTTAATAATATGTAGAACACCAGTATTACCAGACCTGGAAGCTAATGATAATTTTATTTAGATTAAACACAATGTTTTTTTTGTCAACAGAAAATTTTAAAAATAAATTACATACATGTGCAACCAAATTCATTTGTTCCATTAAGTCTTTTAAAGCAAAAAGCTCCATTAATATTTTCATACATTTTTTCTTTAGCTCGCTCGCATGTAGCTAAAACAAAAGATACATTTATACATGTTTAAAAATTATAAATTATTAAAAGAATATTATCATTTTAAAACCATTAGAATTCAAACTATATAATTCATCAATTTTTTTATTATCTTGATTATAATGCATTTTATATTCAAACAAATGAAGTCCTAATTTAAATAAAAAAATTTTTAATATTAATAAGAATTGATTGAAAAACAAAACCAAATACATCTGATTTAAATTTGAATTTTTAAATAAATAAAATCAGTGTAAATTGGAAAAAGGTTAACATTTATGAAAATGTGAATAAATTGCTTAGTCAGAATTTTAGGCAACAGAATTAAGTATACCAAAAAATATTGACATATTCCAAAATTTTTAAATATAAAATACATATTTAAGTGTATAAAGAGATGCATTTTAGTAAAATACTTTGGTATACTAATATGAAATCACTGGAAATTATTAACTACTTATGCATATCATATCTTTAAGGTAAAATAAACATTTGTCACAATGCATTAAAATATTAAAATATATGTAAATAATTCATTGAATTGAAATGATTTTAAAAATGATAAAATTCTTCATAATGTTTTACAGCTGAAAAATTATTTTATCTTTACTACACACAATAATAATATTACCTATTAATAAAATGTCTAAAATAAAAAACAAGGAAGTTTTACTTGCAAGTGACAGCGCCATATTTTGGTTTACATTTGATCTTCCACACCATAGAGTATAAAACTCAAGTAGCAAAATATTGCGCGGACGGTTAGTTACTTTGCGTGACGCTAGATTATTGTTGGCGGGTTCCTAAAATTGAGCGTTAGGACGCCATCTTCAACTATCTACTATTATATTGGTTTGAAATATGGTAAGTTATCTTGAAATATCTGTTACTTAAATTGAACATCCATAATTTATTTTATTGTCATTTGATAGCGATGGCTTTCAACTTTGTACTAGCAAAGTTTCAACTCTGTAGTGCTTTTTTTAACCGAGATATTTGAATTTTTTAGGCTGGTGGAAAAGCTGGTAAAGACTCAGGAAAGGCAAAAGCCAAGGCAGTTTCCAGATCTGCTAGAGCAGGACTTCAGGTAAGTAATAAAATTTTGGTTTTTTTAAATTATATCCTCTTCAATTAGAAAATCACTTTTCTTCCACTATCCGTTTCTTCATAGATATGCCTGTAAAAAAAAAAAATACATCTCTGTATACATTATTATTCTTCCATTAATTTTAATTTAATCTAAAGCTTTTGATTTTTAATTATTATTATATCAATAATTTAAAATTTAACAGTTTGTTCAATGTTACAAAATGTAGATTTGTAAAACGATTTATCATTGTTATCTTTTGTTGTATTCAAACACTTTTTAACGGTTAATAATATTTGTTTTGATATGTTATGAATTAATATTTGAGCACTATTAAAAAATTTTTTTACTTTATTTTGTCTGTTTTACTTTAATTATTTTTTAAACTATAATTTTTAAGCTATTCATTTTTTAATTTTACTATATACATCATAAATTATTAATTATTTCTTATAAATATAAAGATATATAGACAATTTTAATTTTGAAAAAATGTTTTTAAATTAATAAACATTTCTTGGTAAAAAATAGAAAGAAAGTTTTCTTAAGTGATCTAAACTGCAATCGAAATCAATAATTCATTGTTTTGCAGTTTCCTGTTGGTAGGATACATAGACATTTAAAAAATCGCACAACAAGTCATGGTAGAGTAGGTGCCACTGCAGCTGTTTACAGTGCAGCAATATTGGAATATCTTACAGCTGAAGTTTTGGAATTGGCTGGAAATGCATCTAAAGACTTAAAAGTAAAAAGAATAACTCCAAGACATTTACAATTGGCAATAAGAGGAGATGAAGAATTAGACAGCTTGATAAAAGCAACAATCGCAGGTGGTGGTGTCATACCTCACATTCACAAATCATTAATTGGCAAAAAAGGTAAGAAGACATAAGTGAATTTTTTTTTTTTTTTGCTGAAAAAAAAAAAAAAAAAAACAAAATTATTTTTATCATTATTATTATTATTACATACCATGTTAATTATTAAAACGAAAATTAATTTTTTTTTTTTAGGATCTCATGAAACAAAATAATCGGTGATTATGCAAGCTAAAGTTTGCTAGCTGGAGAATGTTATTATTATTATTAATTTTTTTTTCATAAAAAAAAAAAAAAAGAAAAAAAGAAAAGAAACAAAAAAAAAAAAAAAAAAGTGGTCGTTTAAATTCAAATTAGATTGAGAAGGGATGCCTTAATTGCTAGTAATTTTAAGTATTTTAGTTGCTCACAAAAGTAAATTGTACATTAAGTCGACAAACAAACAGACAAACAAAAAGGATAAGAAAAGCAAAAGGAAAAGTGTGAAAAGGAAAAAAAATTTAAATTTAAATTTATAAATGAAAGCCAAAATTTTAAATAATAAAATGAAAACTCGAGACTTACAATGACTGTTCGCGATAAAGGGGCAAAAAAAAAAAAAAAAAAAAAAAAAGGTACATAATTTTTAAAATAAAATTAAATATATCGACAAATGAAAAATCAATTTTAGGTACTTACGAATGTCATTACACACACACACAAACTATATATTTTCATATGAAAAAAATTGAAAATTCAAATTATTTTGAAGTAAACAAAATGAAACAAATTGATTGATTGATTGATTGATTTTCATTATTAACAAGTTAATAATATTAATTCCTCCAAGTAGTTTATAAATTTTTTTGTTTTGTGTTTTTGATTTTATTCGTAGTTGTAAGAGAAAACTAGTGTAGCAATACACAAGTGTTACACTTTCATAATTTTTTTTTTTTTTTTTTTTCTACATATTCTGGATGGAAAGAAGATTGATTTGACAATTTACGAAAATATTCGTAATCTAAAAAAAAAAAAAAAAAAAAAATTTTTGTGTGTTGTTGTTAATAAAGGAATTTTTTTTTTAAATTGAAAAAAGCCTTAGAAAAAAAAAAAAAAAAAAAAAAAAAAATTGAAATTACAATATAATAATAAATGCACCCCATAAAAATTTGGGGGTTGTTGAAACCAGTTTTTTAAATTTAAATTTAAATTTAAATAATAATAATAAAATAAAATAAAATAAAAAATTTTTTTTTCCCAGTTGACAAAACCAATTTAAAAAAAAAATTAAAAAATTTAAAAAAATTGTGTTTTTATTTAAAAATGTTTTAATTATTATTATTATTATTATTATTATTATTAAAACTACTATTATTATCATTTTAACCGTGTAATTAATAATTATATGTAATTGAAGCATTTATAACGAGAGGTCGTTTTTTTTTTTTTTTTTCTTTTAAATTTAAAGGAGGGGAGGGAAAAAAAGGGGCGGGTTAATAGGGAGGGAGGGAGGGAACGGGTAGGCGGGGAATAAAAAGGGAAGGGTAGAGCGTAACGCGCAATGAATGATTTAAAAAGAAATTAATAATAATAATAATAATAATTTTTAAAAAAAATAATAATCAGTAATTGTAAATCGATTAATTTTAAGTTATTTATAACTGTGTCAGCAGAATAAGTTATCATTTTTTTTTTTTTTTTTTTTTTTTTTTGTATTCCTAAATAATAAATAATAAAATAAAAAAATAAATAAAATTTAATTAAATGTATTATTATTATTATTAAAATAATTTTTTTTAATGTGAAAATATTATTATTATTATTGATTTTTTTTTATGGTCATACACAGACAGGTATTTCCTTACCGCTAAAAAATATTTTTCATTTTTTTTTTTTTTTTTTTTTTTGGTTTCGCCTATAGGAATGTGCTTATTAATGATTGACTGATTGATTGATTGATTGATGAGCGATTAGAAATTTTATCACATTTAATAATAAACTGAAGGAATTATTTTTCATATTAAAAAATAAATAAAACTTTTCTATCGTTGCGGCATTTTACGAATGTTTTTTACTTTTTTAAACGATCATGCACGATATCAATTGCTGACACAATTGACTATACTGTATCTGATCACCTGATATTCTCCTCAGTTTCAAACCTTTTTCTTCACAGCCAGATTTTTCGCATACTTTTAATTCTATTTGAACACCTCCTGGATATTCTAATGAAAGACCGTTTTCCTTATCGTTAATGTTTAAATCTTGTTTGCTTGATAAAAAACAACACTTGGTCGGAGCTTTTAAATCTATTATCCTTTTAACTAATGTCAATATGTCGTACGAATTTAATTCCGAATAATATTTCGATAGTCGAACTTCGAACGAGCCCGACGATGTTTTTTCCAACAATTCCGAAGCGAATATGTCACCGGTCGATATTGAAAAATCCGAAACTAAATTTGTCGATTCGGGTAGGAGGTTTCGATTTTTTCTCACGAATATTTTCCCATCGACTTCGACTCCCTCATTCGATGACGTCAAATCCGTCTCTCCGAAATCATCGACGTTCATCGGATTCGATTTTCGATCCATCGGAAACGTCAACCGCATTTCCGTGTGTTTCCCTTGCGCGAATGTTTCTCTCCGATTTTCACTCGTTAAATTTCCCTTCGTCGCATCCGCCGGTTCCGTATTCGAATCTTCTACGTCACTCGATGGTTTTTTAGTCCGATCGTTTCGTATACCGATACCGCGTACTATCGAAGGCCTTGTTAAATCGCAAGGTCCGGATATGACGAACGAAGGTACGTTGACGGTATTAGACTGCGAGGAATCCACGACCATGAGATCGTCCTCTATTTCGTATTTGTGTATTTCAATTGAATCATTGCTTTCGTAGGAACTGTCACTTAAACACGGCACCAAAGTTATTTCTCCTCCCATTTCGTCCGTCAGTGATATTTGAGGACGAGTCGGATTCCGACAAACGTTTCCACCGTTTCCACCTTCTTCCTGAATCATTTGCAATGATGTCGGACTGGGCGAACTCGCCGACGATCTGACACCGGAATGAGTTCTCAAATCCAAGGGTGTTGCGTTGAGAGTCGTCAGGGGAATCGTAGATGATAAATTCGACATGTTTGCCGCCGTCGGAGACATGTTGAGTAATGATTGTTGACTTGCTAACGATGTTCCTTGAGTGATGGATCCTGTGTTGGACGTCGTCGTTAAACTACTTAGTCCTAAAATGATGAAATACGTAATTTAAATAAAAAAACAATTCAATTTCGTTACATTTAAATAATAAAATAATTTATTTTACCCTGAGTAATGACTGTGACGTTTGTACATGTCGGACTGTTATTAGAACTGGAATTTAAACTTAAGGGTGATCCCGGAGATAAACTGTACAATCCGCTCAATTCATTTGTACTACGGGGATGTTGGAGTTGAAGCCTTTGCAAATGTTGTGATAAATTCGGACCTTCGATATGATGATGAACCGGTGACCCTAAAAAAACAAAAAAAAAAAAAAATTGTATTTTGTCCGGATTAAAAACAAAAAAATTATTATTATTATTATTATTATTATTATTATTAAACAACCTTGTATGGAACTCCCCGAACTTGGAGTCGTCGCCGCTGCCGCCGCCGCCGCCGCCGCCGCCACGTTGGAATGAAATTGTTGAACACATAAACTTTTCTGCAAATTTTGATATTCCTGTTGGAGTTGATCCATTGGAAAATGTTGGGAATTTTTTAATAGTGAACTAGCTGAACCTTCGCTCGACCTTCTCACCGGACTGTACCTTTCTTGTGGCCAAGTCGTCGTATCCTTATAACTCTCTCGACTCCCTAAAACAAATTTATTATTATTATTATTATTTTTTTTTAATATACATATATATGAGATCTCAATCTTTTTACCCCGTTTTTTCCCATAATACAATTCCTTGCGTGTTTAATTTATTGTTACAAAAAAAGGTTTTTTTAACCTTTTAAAAAAAATGACGTACCTAAATCTGTGACAAATTTGCTTTCTTGAACCGTTGCCAACAACGTGGGTTTCTTGAATCTAACATAGGATTTAGTTCGTAAGGGACAATGTACGGCCAATTTGGGAGGTACGTGACACCGATTCATTCTCGCTTCAACTTTGAGCACCAAATCGGGACTAATTACTGCGTTTTTAAAACAAATCATGCAAAAAAATAATAATAATAATAATAATAAAAAATAAACATAAATAAAAAAAAAAAACAACAACAAATAAAATAAATAATAAAAAATACAAAATGCAAAATGTAAAAAATATGAAAATGGCGATCGATCCTAGGACTCGCTCGGAATAATATATATATATATATATTTATATAAATTATAAAAAAAAAAAAAAATTAATTAAATTAAACAATAAAATAAATATATAAAAGCGTACAAATAAAAAAAAAAAAAAAAACTACAACATTACATTAAATTTTTTATACAAAAACTGACCTGCTGGCAGGAGTGAAAGAGATATTTTGTTTTTCGTCGATCAGTTATCTAAAGTTTTAATGAGAGAGAGAGAGAGAGAGAAAGAAAAAAATTTTTTTTTTAAACTCACCCGGTGGTCGTTCCATGACTGTCAAGAGTCCCGTTCTTCTAGTCCTGGATGAAGCCGCGGGCGAATTATTCGAAGATTGAGGACTAGACGTTTGTAATTTTTCAACTTCATCCACGCTACCCAATGCCAAAGTGTGACGTTTGTTATTCCCCCTTTTTTCCATGTACCTGAAAAGAAAATGAAAAAATGTAATTTTTATTCTTTTACTGCCTTATTTTATTATTTTACTTTACTTTAACGAGTCCGCGTGATGATAAAAATTAAAATTTTAAACAATTAAATAAAGGGGCTACCTTTGAACTTGAACTTGATGAAGAAGAACATTCAAATTTTTCTCTTAGAAATATGACAGAACTCATTTTTTTTTTTTTTTTTGTTTTTATAATCGCCAAAAAAAATGCTTCTTTTTTTTCCCGCCAATTAAAGGCACAACACATTGAGTATAGAAAATCTTTGAAAAAAATAATAATAATGATAATAATGTTTTACTTGTTTAAAATTTTGCCTGATAATATTCATAATTAAAATTTTTCGTTATTAATAAAAGAACTGAAATTTCCTTTTCCACAAAAAAAAAAAATTAATTTTAGGATATACTTATTTTAAATATACTCACCGTGCAACAGCAAAATTTTCATTTATCTCTTCCGAAGGTGATGGTTCCGATGAAAGTCCCTCGATATTATTACCTCCTCCACTAATGGGCTGGGACCTTTGTGCGAGGGTGGGACTACCAGGTTCCAGCTGAAATTACGTATTTTATTATTATTATTATTATTATTATTTTTTAAAAGATTCTATTATTAAAATTTAAATTTGTAAAAAAACTTACCATTTGAATCTGTTCATTACTTCCAGGTTGACTCCAAACTCCTTCCATTTGCCTGTGAAAAAACATTTCCAAGTTGGCTCCCCCGTCGGATGCTCGTCTTCCTAAACCACTAACTGCAAATAAAAAATAAGGAAAAAGTTTTTTTTCGAATTACATAAAATTTCATCGGTTATACATAAAAATAGCTTGATTTATTATCACTTACTTGCTCCCATGGCAGGAGGAGGTTTCAATAAATGTTGGTCTTTAATGGTAAAATTTTGAGGAGGTTGATGTTGAACCAAAGGAATATTCGCGGGTAAATTTATATTAGGTATTATGTTCATTTCGTTCCAATTATCTAATTTTAAATATGGATTGTAATGTGATTCCAAAACCTGAAAATAATTTTTAAAACGTTTAGTGAAAATTAAAAAAATTTTTTTTTTTTTTTTTTACAAATTTCATCCCTTAAAATACTTACTTGCTGGTGCATTGCATCACCTGGGCCCACGGTATGTCTTCTTATTGTTAAATATTTGTCGTCTTTATTTGTTTCGTTATTACTATTCTTCTTTTTCGGACCTTCTTCCGATTCAATATTTATTTCTACATCTCCAAATTTTTCCAAAGCTTGATTATCGTTCATAAGGTACACAGCAGGAATGGTAGGCATAGATACCAAAGGTGAACTCGCATTATCTCCTTCGGATGATCGATCAACCGTACCGGTTGTAATACTTGTTTTTCTCAATGGCGTAGGAGCAGTCGGAATAGTCTTTAAATTTCCATTTCTTTGGTCTAATTTGTCCACCAATAAATGATAAATAGCACTCACGTGATCAAACATGTCATTCATTACAGACTTTATTGAAAGAAAGATAACAATGAATATTTTTTTTTTTTAAATTCAATTTTTTTTTTTAAAAACTTTTCCCGACATCAAATTATACCAACCTTACAAATTATTTCTTGATCTAAACCAGGTAAAGTTAACATGTGTTCAACCACCAAAGGATTTAATGAATTGTTTTCGTTTGATAATCTTGAATCTAAATTTGAAACAGGTTCTAAACATGACATCCATTTATGAGCTAATATTGATTTTATTGTTAGTCTTTTATCTGGGTCAACTATTAACATATGCCTAATTAAATGTTCACAGTCTGCAAATTAAATGACTCAAAATAATTATAAAAAGTAACTGATAAATAATAAAACAACTTAATTTTAAAAAAAATTCACCTCCACTCATAAAATAAGGTATTCTAAACTTTCCAGAAATCACTCTTGTTCTCAACGTTTGTAAAGTCTTCCCATCAAAAGGTAATGCTCCACACACTAAAACATATAAAACTACTCCCAAACTCTACAAAAACAAATAAATAAAAATTAAATAAATACTTTTAAATGAATAGTGAAATAAATATTGAAAAACACTCACCCAGATATCAGCCTTCGGACCATCGTATTCTCGCCCTTCAAATAATTCTGGTGCAGCATAGGGTGGACTTCCACACCATGTTGAGAGCATTTTACCCTCTGTGAAATGATTACTAAATCCAAAATCTAAAATATTTTTATCACATAAATACAGTAACATAGTAAAAAAATTAAACTTTTATTTGTTGACGTTTTAAAAACTAAAAAGTAAATGACATTTTACCTGCTAATTTTATATTCATATTAGGGTCAAGTAATAAATTTTCAGCCTTTAGATCTCTATGTACAATATTTCTCGTGTGACAGTAAGATACTGCAGCGACTATTTGATGAAAAACTCTTCTAGCTTCATTTTCATTCATTTTTCCATTTGCTACTAAATAATCTGTAAAGTTAAAGTAAAATGTACATAATTATTATACAAATAATTTTACATTTTCTTAAGAAAAAATTTTAACTAAATCTATAACATAACTTTATTATAATATTTCCTTTACATAATAATTATTATAAAGTAATTTTTTATACAATGAAAACTATAGTTTTAAATATTTTCCATAAGTTTAAAATAAGAAATATAAATAAATAATATTTACAATACTTACCAAATATTTCCCCCCCACTTGCATACTCTGTGACTAGATATATCATCTTTTCAGTCTCCATAACTTGGTACAATCTTATTATATGTGGATGCCTTAATTGCATCATTATTTGAACTTCACGAAATATTTTTTTTAAGTTGTCTTCATTTAATTTAGTTTTATCAATTATTTTAATGGCCACCTGAAATAAAATAAAATAAAAAATTATTATTTGATTATTATTTTTGTTTCTTTGTTAGTTGAATTATTTTTTAAATATATATCATTTACAAGGGTTTTATAATGGTAGAACATAAAATATTTACTTATTATTTTTTAACTCTAAAACAAAATTAATATTTAATTACTTTTATAAATTAAAAAGTAATTAACTTTATGCAATTATTTAGAAATCAATCAGTGCTCTAAAATAGAAATAAATTCATTCAACTTATAATTTTCTACTCAAAATGGCTGACAGATCAGAGTGAAAACAAAATTTTAACATAACCTCAATAATTTTAGACGTGTGTTTTATTAAAAAACAAAACTCGAGATGAGTTTTTAACAATCAAATCTAATAAAACGAGGTGTGTTATATAACCGACAAACTATTGGATGTAATTAAATGCATTTTAAAATCATACTCTTGTTATCGTACGACTTGAGAAAAGTTTAAGGAAACAAAAAAAAAAAAATTAGACTAATTAGAATTACCTTGGTTTTTGTAACAACATGAGTAGCTAATTTTACAACGGCAAAATTTCCTTTTCCAATTGTTTTTTCTAATTCATAATATCCAACTCTTACTAATCTGTCTATTGGAGAATTCTGGGCAATATTTTTGTTTCTTGATGAAGCAGCCATTTTACTACAGTTTTTCATTCATACTTTGCTTTTTTCTTCTGCTTGAGAAAAGATGTAACTTATTTCATAGAGAAAATATTTTTACTATGAGCCATTGATTAATTTCAACTTATAAAATATCAACGTAAAATTAAAGAAAAAATTTTCTTTAATCGCATTCCTATCAAAATTTTATTCATAACTATTACCTATTATTGTTCTGAAAATTTCATTCATCATAGAAAGAAAATACTTTCAGAATCATTTTTTTTTTAAATTAGAAAATATACTAAAAATTATATAATAATAATAATATTTTAAATTTATTTCTTTTTAATTCTAAATAATCAATTTAGACGGTTAATAATTTAGAAAACAATGTTTGCTTAGTTACTAAAATATTAGTTTTTTCCACGTAAACTAATTACTCGAAAACATAATCAACTTTTTTTATTTTTTAATAGGAGAAATTGCCGCGTTTTTAATGACGTCAAAAAATCATAGAGAATTAAACGAAACAAGCATCAATACTGAGCGGAATTGTAGTCGGTGAATGCTTGTAAGAATTTTTTAAATTTTAATTGCAAATTTGTGATTTTTCTTATAAAAAAGAAACGCTTTTTTATTTTCAATAGATCTTACAAAGTGAAAAGATATATAATAATTAATTGCTTGCAGTAAATACGTCTGTTTAGTAAAGTTTAAAAGTTAATCTCTCTCTCAAATTGGCAATCAGACTCTGTAAACATCTAAAAATTTTTTTTAAAATTTTGTTTAATCTTTTATCTCAGTATAAACTAATTACAATTTTTAAATTGAAAAGATAATCTTTTTAATCGTTTTAAATAAGTCCAGTCTTAAAATTGTTGATTGTCTTATTAAAAACATGACGACTTGTATTTCAATGAAATATTTTCAATTACTTACCTATTGTAATTAATTTTTTTTATCACTGTTGTAATTGAAGTCTTGATTGTAGGTTTCTGCGTTTGAGAGTCAGGAAATTAGTCCACCATCATGGAAATGCCTGAACTAACTGAAGACATCCTTGAGGGAGGATCTAATTCTGAAATTCTAAATCCCCCTGAAGACTCGGAAAATTTTGATGAATCCGTACTTCAAAATGAAAATGAAACATCCAATGCAGAAGAAGAGTCTACTGGAGAAATAAAAAATTGTAATGTTATTAATTAAATTCATTGTATAAAAAAAAAAGATTTCATTAGTTGTGAATATTAATAATAATAATTATTATTGGCAATTTTTAGCCGAAGAGGAAGAAAATAAAATTCCTGAAAACAATGAAATGGAAGAATCATCTGAATTGGAAATCCCAAAGTCTAATGATACATTAAGTTTACCACTAAAAGACTCCATGAATGATTTTGAAATGGAAAAACCAGAAGAAGAAGAAGAGGAAGAAGAGGAGGAAGCAGGAGAAGAAGAAGAGGAAGAGGAAGAAGAACTGGAACCGCAAAAAAAAAAAATTAGACTGGAAGAATCTAAGAAACCTGATGAATCATTAGATGAAAATGAAGGAGATTTAGGCAATCAATTAGGTGAAATGGAACCAGAAAATGATTCTAATTCTCAACCTCAACTTGAAGATGAATCAGAAATGAATGCTGATGCTGATGACCAAGACTCACTAGTAAGACCAAATTTTAATTATTTTAAATTTTAAACAGTTATTTTTTATTAAAAATTTATAAATGTTTACTAATAATTTCTTATTCTCGACTTTAGTTATTAGAAGCTAAGAAGGAAGAAAATACTGTTAAGACTTTAACAGAGAAAGAAAATGAAAAAAGACGATCATCTGCACCTGATACTGACATGCTGGCTACATTAGCCAGTGCTGCTTTAGATCAAGATCCCAAAGAAAAAAATTCAAGTGAAAAAGGTAGAGTTTTATTCATTTTGTTAGTATAGATATAATAATAATCATTATGAAATGTTATTTTACAACAAAGTTTATCATTTGTTATTTATTAGGTGGAAGTACACCAAAATCTCCTGCCAAAACAGAATCAGAAACTCCAAAAAAGAAACCAGAAATGTGGTGTAATGTTGGAGTATTTGACACGAACACCACCATCGTGTCCGATTATATAGCCTCACCAGAAACAAATGAACAAGTAGATTTAGTGACTGCCACTCTCGGAGGAAGAAGATTTCAGCTAGAACCTGGTACCGCATATAAATTTCGTGTTTGTGCCGTAAACGGTTGCGGAACAGGACCTTGGTCGGACGTGGCTGCATTCAAGACTACATTACCAGGTTTTCCAGGTATTTATTTTGATTTTTACCCGGATTTTCGAGACGTTCCTATCAAATATTAACAAATAAAAATAAATAATTTTTTAAAGGTGCGCCTTCGGCTATTAAAATTTCAAAATCACCCGAGGGTGCTCATCTTACTTGGGAACCACCCGGTGGAAACAGCAGTGAGATATTGGAATATGCCGTTTATTTAGCCGTTCGAAGTGCGAGTCAGGGATGCCAACCTGTAACGACAAATCAAGCTCAATTAGCCTTCGTGAGAGTGTTTTGCGGACCAACAAATAAATGCATGGTCGGAGCTAACAGTTTGCAGGCGGCTCACATCGACACGACGACAAAACCAGCAATCATATTTAGAATTGCGGCGAGAAATTCAAAAGGTTACGGTCCTGCAACACAGGTAAAAAAAAAAAAAAAAATTAGTTAACAAAACAATATGGATAATAATTAAATGAAAAAATTTTGATTTTCTTAAAATTATTATACAATACAATTTTGAATTACAGGTAAGATGGCTTCAAGAGAGTCAAAATGGTACTTCTCAAGGTGTTAAAAGACCAGTCAAATAAAGGACTTGTATTACATTCATAAATAAATTCATAACAGTACAATTTTAACATTAAAACAACAAAAAAAATATAATTTTTTTTTTTTTTTAAATATATGATAAATTCTAATTATAGAAAAATTATAATCAATTCGATTATTTAATAAAACAGTAAAATTGTAATTTTTATTCATCGAGTATATAATTATTTTATTACGTAATAAAAAAAAATAAAAAAAAATCAATACAATAATGAAAATTTTAATAATACATTTGACAAATTTTCCTAAACGAAAAATTAAGAAAAAAAAAAACAAAAAAATGGATGACAAGAAAACACAGAAAAACAATCATCATCATCATATATTTATTTATTTATTTATTTATAATTTAAATTATTTAATTTAATTTTATAAATTAATTTTTTCTTTTTTATTTATCAATAAATACGAGATTAAATTACAGATATTTTATCATCATCTTATATAAATGTGTCGTTTTATTTATTTATTTTATTTATTTAATGAGAAAACGACGATTGAAGCAACAAACAACAATCAACACTTTTTTTATAAAATAAATTAAATAACATATAAATTCTTTTTTTTTAATAATTAAATTATTAATAATAATAATATAAATAAAATTTCATTTAAAAAACAAAAAAAAAAACCAAAAGATTACAATGTCTGTCTATTTACTCTTTTATTATTATTATTATTATTATTATTATTATTATTATTATTATTATTATTATACGTATTTATTTATTTATAATTTTTTTTGTCACATTTAAATTATCTAATTATACATACAGGCAAACAAATCAACAAATCAACAAACAAACAAACAAGCAAACAAAAAAAAAAAATTTTTTTCATTAATATATAACATTTATTTTAAAGAATATATATATATATCAATAATAATAATAATAATACAAATTTTATACGTTAATATATATATAAATATTTTATATTATTAATTTAAAAAAAATTTATTTATTATTATTATTAATATTATTAAACATAAAAAACAAAACAAATTTTTAACACTTCAATAACTCACTCGCACAATAATATATATATATATATATATATATATATATATATACTATTATTATTATTATCATTATTAAAAATAAATTTATATATATATATATAGTTTTTTTTTTAAACACGATCTATACAATTTTTTATTTATTTATTTATCTATACGTTTACGTAAAGCTAATCAAAGCAAATTATTTTAATTTAAAAGTATAAATTATTATTATTATTATTAATTACTAATGAAAAATATTAAATGAAAAAAAATGAAAAAAAGAGAAAAGAGAAAAAATAAAAAAAAAAAAAATTCGGGAAGAAAAATTATTAATATTATTATTATTATCGGGGACAAGCAAATATGATGACACGATTATTATTATTATTATTATTATACAAACATTTAGTAAAATTTTTTTTTATAAAAGATTTTTTTTCTTTTTTTTTCTTTTCTCTCTTCTAAATTTTCACGACTACGGTTATTTATTATTATTATTATTATTATTATTATTATTATTATTATTATTATTATTATTATTATTATTAATATTTAAACACTTATTACTATTATTTAACAATGAGGCACTACAATTTTATTTTTCACAAAAACAAAAAAAAAAAAAACTAACAAATCATCATCATCATCATCATCATCATGAGTAACGATCATTTTCTCTTCAGTTTCTTAATACGTCAAATACGTCATGATTATTATTATTATTATTATTTAAAACCGTCACAATCTTTTAGAATATTTAATTTTTTTTTTTTTTATAAAAATCATGTACTTAATTAAAAAATAATAATAATAATAAATACTGAAATTTTTTGGCACCAAAAAATTTTTATTTTTTTTTTACATTCTTTTAAATGAGAAGAAGAAGAAGATGCTGTTTGGGGAAAAAATTATTATTATTATTATTACACAAAGGATTGATAACAAAAATGATAAGGAATAATGTCGGAAAATTTGGTTTAACTCGTGATTGTCAAATTTATATTTTGGGACAAAATTAAAATCCACGTCGTAAACAAAAGATTCGAAAAGGGGGGGGTGAGGAAAGGGGCGGGGACGGGAGGGTGTGGGGGAAGGGCAGAGGGGGAAAAGGTAAACGAATCCATAGGGAGGAAAAATTTTTTGCTGTTGTTGTTGTTGTTTTGTTAGGACGTCTGAATTATTTATAATATAATCTAAAAAAAAAAAAAAACCCTTTTGCAGTAAGCTTTTCCCCTTCGACCTTATTTACATATATATCATTTATTATTTTCTAAGTACGTTACATTTAAAACGACAACAACAACAACAACAAACAAACAAACAAACTAAAAATTAATTCGAAAGTATAAATAATTTTTTTTTTTTTTTAACGAAATGATGTGTTTGTTGTTGTTGTTACATCTAATAAATCATTTATTTACTTAATTAAATTTAAAAAACGAACAAAAAACAAAAACAAAACCGCGTACGTGATTACTATTATTATTATTATTATTTTGTTTAAACAAATAAATTTAAAAATACGAACACTCGTAATATAATTAAATTATAATAATAATAATAATAATTTGTTTAATATATATATTGTACTCAATTTTTTTTATTACAATAACACAAGCGTAATTTATTTATTTATTTATTTGTTTATAACAATTAAAATATATTAATAAATAAATAAATAAATAAAAAAACAAAAAAATTAAAAAACTACAAAATTTTTTGTTTGTTTTTTTTTAATTTTTAAAAATTATTTACAATTACAAATAATTTCACAACACAATTTATTAATATATTTATATATGTATATTTATATTTATAAAAAAAATTATTATTATTAATATTATTATTATTATTAATTTTCAAACTTTTTAAATTGATTAAAAATTTTCAGACGTCCATTTTTAATTCAAATTAATTAAAATAAATAATAATATTTGTAATGACGTTTAAAAATAAATTTTACAATTGTTATCAATTTTATTTATTTCACTTCATCTTCTTTTTTTCTCCTCCCCCTCCACCCCTCCCTCTCCTTCTCACCCCTCCTTCTCACCCCTCCTTCTCTCCTCCCTCTCTTACTCTTTCCCTCCCCTTCGCCCCGCCCCACAAAAAAAAAAATTATTCTCATCATTAAATTGCAGAGAAAAATATAAACGTCTCCATTTTTTTCTCATCTTCATCATCATCATCATCATCATCATCATTATTATTATTATTATTATTATTAATAATATGTTTTTGACTTTATGTAAAACACCCCGAGGATGAAAGAATAAAAATTCAAAACCTTTCAAAACCTTTCTTTTTTTTTTAAATTTTAAAAAAAAAAATGTACATGACCGTTTTCCAAAATGGCGTCCACGTCGAAATTCGTAACGGAAAAAAAAAAAAAAATTCAACCGGAAATAGTTGGAAACAATCGAATTTTTTTTAAATTTTTTATAAAATTGTATAATAACGAATCGTAGTTTATACACGTACACACGCACACTCTGATCACGGTAGTAATAATAATAATAATAATAATAATAATAATAATAATAATAATAATAATCTGTTTGATACAATTAAAATTTTTATAATTTTCGTGAAAAATCATCGTGACAACAACAACAAAAACAAAAAACGAGAAAATATTTTTTTCTTTACTGCAATTAAATAACGATCATTTAAAAAAAAAAATGAAAACAATGCATATAACGATTTTTTTTGTGATGCCTTATTTCCGGTCAAAAACAATGCGTGCTATTTCCGGTATAAAAAAAAAAAAAAACAAAAAAAATTAACCAAAAGTTTTTTTAAAATTCAAAATGGTGTCAATTTTTTTTTTTTTTTTAAATAAATTATTTAATTTGTCAGTTAATTAATTAATTAATTACTTTTCGTTCATTAATTATAATCACTCACGGATACTAAAATAAAGTCAAAAAAAAAGAAAAAAAAATTATTTAATCGATTACATTTAATAATCCTCCATTTTCCTTCTTTCTTATCCCTTCCCCTTCCCCCCTTCCCGCCCCGCCTCAATTTCTTTCCGTTTTTATAATTTTTTTTTTGTTAAAATAATATTTCTGTCCCCGATACGTTAATTATTATATTAAAAACAAAAAATATAACAAACAATCGATTCGAATACAAACAAACAAACAAACAAATATAATAAATATTTATATATATATGTTTCAATCATATGTATTATTGTGTGTTTGTATGCGTTTGCGTTTGTAATATTCAGTCTATTCTGGTTTAAGACGATGCCAATGAACGATTGTTTGCCTCGGTTTTGTTATCATATCTTGCCAATGTTTCGTTTCCGACGCTCCTGAACCATTTTTACCTGTAATCAAATCAATAAAATTATTATTATTATTACTC